GCCTTTGCTCGGAAACTGCTGCAACTCTCCGGCGTTCTCTTTGAAAAGAGGGAAGAATAGGAGGAGGAAGGAGAAGAGAGAGAGGGGGGGATTTGAGGAGAGAAGGGTCGAAAGCCCAAGCTCATGCCCGCCATTTTTTTTTTGGGACTTCTTGTGGCTTTTTTTCCCCCTTTTTGGGGATTTCGGGGAGATGAGGAAGTTGAGGGACAAGCTGGGGTCTGTAGCGAGAGGAGAGGTGATTTGCTTGGGAATTTTTGGTTTGCAGATAAACCCATAAGTTTAAATAAATTGCAGATGGAATAATTTTACTTTTGTTAATTAGCGGCAAAAATGCCTTCCAATCCACCAAATCTTAACAAGTATGCTCCCCCCCCCCGCCCCCCCCCCACCCCCCAAAGACTTTTTCAACGCTCTAAAAACCCTCAAATTTGTAATAACTATGCTTTGAGCCCCCAAAACACAAAGCCCAAGAATTTTACACAGTATAATACTCATTTTCTCTCTATTTAACCATGCAATCCCTCCGCTCTCTCTCCTCCTTCCCCCCATCATTTTTGCCCTATCCCCCTCCGTCCCTTCCGCAACCCTCGTGGTGGCCGAAGCTCCTCTCCGGTCTCGCGCCTTGACCCCTCGTCTCCGCTCACCGAGATCCGCCATGTCCATCGCCGATCCCAGCGCGGCCTCCGCTCTACCCCTCGCTTCCGTCCCCAACCCAATCCTTCTTCCCCCAGACGCCACATCAAACCCCGCTCTCCATCCCTCAGGTCCATCATCCCCTTCCAAAAACCCTACCGATTTTGTTGCTGACCCTAGAATCTCCTTGATAGGGGGGAGCCAGCTATTTTCTTTCTTTGCCCCTAAAGAGCTTCAGCTCGCTGAAGATGTTTTCAAGGATCTTGTGACGACTAAGTTCTTACCAAGTCATTCTATTTGGGATAATTGTTATTCTCTTGTCATTCATGAGATTGAAATATGATTTTATTAGGGGTCCCATGGATTCATGATCTACCATTCTACAGTTTGAGATTACAGTGATATGGTGGCTCTTATGATGATGAGATTACCTATGCTTCGATCAAGCTACTACCCATATGATGAGATTACAGTTTGAGATTACCTATGCTTCGATCGAGCTACTGCCCATACGATGAGAGGCAGTCCAACGTGTGTCCGTGTGGAAGTGGATTTGAGGAAGAAACTCCCCACTCATGTTTCGGTGAGTGTTAATGCGATAACCAATTATTTGAGGAATTTGTTTGAAGAAATCAGGCTACAGTGATGAAAGAATTTTTAATGGATCTACTTGCAGACAATGTATTGTATTTGTAATACATATGAAGATGTTTAGAAAAAAAATTTTGAGAGTGTTTGCTTGATTGTAAGTTTTACCTTCAAACCCCTGATTTTGCTCTTAAACCAAGTGGTTTTATTTGCACGTTGGTTGTTAAGTTTACGAGTTGCTTGTTAAGGTTACCCGTTGCTTGTTAAGGTTACGCGTTGGTTGTTAATGTTATACGTGTTACTTGTTAAGGTTACGCGTTAGTTGTTAAGGTTATACACGTTGGTTATTAAGGTTATATGTGTTGGTTGTTCAGGTTACGGGTTGCTTGTTAAGGTTACGTGTTGATTGTTAAGATTATGAGTTGCATGTTAAGGTTACGCGTTGGTTGTTAAGGTTAACCGTAATCTTAACAAGCAACTCGTAACCTTAACAACCAATGCGTAACCTTAATAAGCAACTCATAATCTTAATAACCAACGCTTATAACTTTAACAACCAACACGTAAACTTAACAACCAACGCATAACCTTAACAAACAACCCGTAACCTTAACAACCAACACGTAAATCGCTTGGCTTTTGAAAATTTCATTAAAATTAAAAGTGAAATATTATTACAAAATCCAGCTCACTCCCACCACCTAAAACAAACGTATACATCATCGTCTACTTCCTCTACCCCCGGTCAACGGTCTCAAAACCATGGCAGTCCACCTCCTCAGTGAGTGTTGAGTGGTAAAATGAAAGTAATCATACATTGCACAATTTTATGGGGTGCTGTAAGCATGAATTTTCTGAAGGAAAGTGTAGAATTGTTACTGCTTTTTATTTTTATGAAGTTATGAATTATTATAGTAGAAGTCCAAAAAAATTAAAGATTTTTTTCTATTTCCTTCCTTTTTTATTTTTATGAAGGTTTTACGGGTTGCTTGTGAAGGTTACAGGTTTGCTTGTTAAGGTTACGCGTTGGTTGTGAATGTTACGCGTTTATTGTTAAGGTTACGCGTTGGTTGTTAAGGTTACGGGTTAGTTGTTAAGCTTAACATTCACAACCAACGCGTAAGCTTAATAAGCAACTCGTAACCTTAACAACCAATGCATAATTTTAACAACTAACACGTAACGTTAACAAGCAATCTGTAACCTTAACAACCAATGCGTAACCTTAACAAGTAACCCGTAACCTTAGTTATGCAGCAAAAATAAAACGACTCATCATTTCCCCCCTTTTTAATAGCAATCGATCGAGGACAACTAATTAAGAGAACTAGCTAGAATCCAATAATGCCCGCAAATTCGTAGCCTTAATGATAAATCAACTTCATTAGCATCTCTATCATCAGACCTTCTATAAGTCCCCACTACTGCATTAGCAGCCACCCCTTCTTTCCTCTGGTTCGAGCTCCACTGAAACCTCCCAACACCACACAAATAATCCTCCCTCCCCCTCTCCATCCCCGATGGATTACTTAGCCAGCTGTCACCAGATCCATCGCCGTCCGCATTCGATGCTGAGCGCGGTCAGATATCATTAGCCATCTCTCTGCTCCTCTTCGCTAGGTTGCGCTCCATCTTGTGTGTGTTCTGGTATCCTCCAAGAGCTTGGGCACTGTAAAAAGTACGTCGGCAATAGTTACACGAGAAAACTCATGCGTACTCGGGATGAGGCCCGAGCTGTAGGGACAGGTTAAGGTTGAGGTCTTGAGCTTCATGACCTGGTTGAAACTCCATCAAGGTGGGGGTGGATAATGAGGGTTAATGTTATGTTTCTTAGCTTATAAAGAAGATACACGAAGGTTGTAGCAGTTGCAGTGGTCCAGTGTGCCTGTAGTAATGCATAACTAATTATTTGGGATTAGGAATTGAGAGAGAGAGCTTCATGAAATATTCTCGGCGAGCAAAGGCCGAGGGGTCGAGCGAGGGGTCGAGCGGAGGCCGCGCTGGGATCGGCGGTGGACACGGAGGATCTCGGCGAGCGGAGGCGAGGGGTCGAGGCGTGAGACCGGAGAGGAGCTTCGGCCGCCACGAGGGTTGCGGAAGGGACGGAGGGGGCTAGGGCAAAAATGGTGGGGGAAGGAGGAGGGAGAGCGGAGGGATTGCATGTTAGAGAGAGAGAGAGAGAATGAGTACTATAGTCTTTACCTGTATAAAATTCTTGAGCTTTGTGTTCTGGGGGCTCAGAGCAAAGTTATTACGTATTTGGGGGTTTTTAGAGCGTTGAAAAAGTCTTGGGGGAGCATACTTGTTACGAATTTAGGGGTTGGAAGCATTTTCCCTTATTATTTTCATTTTACCACAAAGTTTACCCTTTGATACTCCAAACTATTTCTTGACACTTTGGTACCTCAAAGTTTCAATGTCGCTCCAATTTTTTACGCTATGTTACTTTCCCGTTAAATCTTACGTTAGGTAGCATGAAAAGGTTGAAATACCCTGTTCAACTTTCAACATTTATATAGAAATGAAGAAGAAACAAATTTCTTGGCAAATTCAATTTTCTTGGTGTTAGAAAAAACGAATAATAAAAAATAGCTTTTTTTAAAGGAATGGATTAGAAGCCTAAATTGCAGGAGGATCAGGAAACGAATTAGTAACATGACCGCTGGATAAGAGTATCAAAGTGAAAATGGGATCAAAACTTTAGAGGTGTTAAAAAAACTAATAATAACTTTGAGATATCAAAGTTAAAACACGAAATGATTTCCAAAGAGAAAAACTCCCCCACCCCACCTTCAAACCGCGTGCTGTGTGTGTTTATAGGTGTATATATATATATTATTATATATATATATTATATATATATATATATATACTATATAATTATATTATATATTATATATATATATCTAATATATATACTATATATTATATACTATAATATATATAGTATATATATATATATATATTTGAGAGACGGGAGGTGATGCTGGCAGCGGTAGGAAATTTCCTACGCTACAATGTGTTATGACATGTGTAGGCCCGCACACCAAGTGTTGCGTGAGTAGGGGGGCTCAACTATCATACACTCGTGCAGCGTAGGAAATGTTCCTAGCCTGCCCAGCTCACGCTGCCCGTTCTTCTCATATATAGGTATATGATTTATATATATATATTATATATTATATATCATATATATATATATAATTATTAATTATACTTAATATTATATATAGTGATTATATATTTTTTTTTTTTTTTTTTTTTTTTTTTTTTTTTTTTTTTTTTTTTTTTTTTTTTTTTTTTTTTTTTTTTTTTTTTTTTGTTTTTTTTTTTTTTTTTTTTTTTTTTTTTTTTTTTTTGTTTTTTTGTTTTGATATAGTGTGATATATATATACGCCGGTGTCGGGCCCCGGTCCGCGGGGTCGGCCGGGGTCCGGGGCTGGTGCGGGTCGGGGGCGGGCTTTATATATATATTGGGGAAAATGGGTATTGTGGTTAGTACTCACCAGCCCAATTTTGTGCTTGATTAGTGAGGTGTCACTATTCACTATCCACTCATCTCCATTCTCAAGCCACTCTCCAACTCAGTGAATGTGCGGTCTCCCCGTCAATGAGTGGCAGGAGAATATGTCACGATCGTACTACCAAGCACAAAACATTGTGCTTGCTTCCAAACATACCCGATTTTTCTTTCGCCAAACCCCCCCCCACCCCCACACACACATATATAACTACTATATTACTATTAAATATTTATATATTT